GGAGCCCACACAACTCAGCAGGCCCAACAGTAGATCTCAAATAGAGTTAAAAGGCTGCATCAATAAGCAACTTCAAATATATATGGTTAGAGTATAAATGCCAAAAATAATTCCTGGAAGTTCTAACCCCTGAACCACTACAGAGTCCAGCCTGTCAAAAGGATTCCCTATACATCCCAGACTGCATATAACAGGCCCGAACTGTGTCTGTTAACTCGGATCTGCTGCCAGCAGCAGAGGCCAGAATATGTAGGTGGCCTGTTTTGAAGGAAACATTTTCCCCACTGCTGCCACGTTAACAATCTGTTGTTGAGTCGGACAGAAAGAAACCTCCTTCCCTGCCCCGTCCATGGTCCCTGTGGCTGCCTGCCCTGCCTCTGAGAGGACCTGCAGCTTTGTCCACGCTATGGTTTTGAATTCTCTAGAACCACTTGAAATTAAGTCAAACACTGAATGGGAGATGATACTGTCTGACTATAGGGAGCTTTATAACATCAGCAGCACAACTTAGGTTGGTGTTTTTTCCTTTTTTCCTCCCTGGACACATGAGCTGTTCCAGAACTTGTATCAGAATATTTGGTTCTCACGTATATTTATTTAGTGAGCAGTGGCATTCCTATTTTTATAGCTTTGAGTTTTTAACTTTCTTGTTAGCAACATTAACAAGGTTTACAGCATATAATGTGAGCTGTGGCATTTAAAAAATGTTAGCCTAATGTAACACCGGCTTTTTTTTATATACATGTTCAATGGCAAACTCCTACTGACAGGCAGAATGCATTTCTATGTCTGGGCAAGTTTATAGATGGTGTTCCCACCTCTGGGCCACAAGGTCACAAATTTGTTTCTGATTCTATTAAAGAAACACTCAACAATGGTAAGTTTGTGTGCTTTATTTCTATTTATTTATTTATTTATTTTATGAGAGGGGACTGTTTTATGTGATCCAAGATCTTAAAGATACTCCAAGGAATCTCTGTTGAATGCTGGGCTTTTCACCCCCATGCCCTGACTGAATAGCTCTGGCTGCAGATTTGAGAAGCTTTTCTGGCAGTTAGATAAAACAAATTTCAGGGAAATCTGACATGACTGAAAAAAGAATAAGCAATGTCTCTCTAGCTTGCCCATGCGTAGTTGCACTGCCTTCTGTGGGATTTCATAGCAGTGGGATTTGACACTGCATCAGAACAATGTACAGGAGTTAAAGATTCACAAGACTTGTTCTCAGTTGCTATTTCTGCAGCATGACCCTGAGGACCTCACCCCAAGGCTTCGCTGCGGGTCCCTCCGTGTCTGTGGGATGGAAGGAACAACCTTCCTCCTTTGCCTGCCTTCATTCATTATGCAAGATTTTGGAGGCCAGTCACTGATAAATCAAGGTACCTATCTCAGCAAACGCTTGGTGCTCTCTGAATTAATAGGAATATTTACTGGTCTCATAGTAAGGACAAATAAAAAGATGACTGCATCAGAGATGGCTCCTATTACCCTACAAAACATCAACCTTAGGCTTTCCTGGAATTAATTTAGCTGGGTATTTTTTTCCTTTACGCTGTGTGATGGCTCCAGCTGCAGCTTCCTCACCATAACTGTTTGTGGATGGCACCGAGCCCCATTTAGCAAGGGGGAGGCAGCACCCAGGCTGGCTGCAGACATCACTGATCTGAAGTGACTTCATAACGTGCTCTAGGACTTCACAGCTACAAACGTATGGATTGTGGACTTGAGAAATGAGTGGGGACCAGCAGAAGGACCAAGATGATGGGGTAGAAGGAAGAGCACAGGCAAGAGAAAAACAGTGCTTGACAGAGGGAAGAGGGGAGGATAAGCTTGTATCTCTGTTGAAAGAACTTCAGTATCACCTATAACTGCCCAGAAGGCAACCATGAAAATGCAGAAGGGCAGGAAGTACTCCCATTTTCTAGGATGCCTGTGTTGCTGCGGGTAGGAAGATCAAGGCTTGGTATCAAATGCCTCACTACAGAAGGGAGATCAGCTGGAATAAAGCAAGAAGCCAGAATTTGTAGGCTAGGAAAAAAAGCTGATCATGTTGCAACAGAGCACAGGAAAGAGAAATTGGCTGCAGTGTCTGACTGGAGGCCTTTTAGCTACATGAGAGGACTCCAGGTCTATTCTTTTTCTAATTTCCTTCTGCCCCCAAGGAAGCTCCTGGTGGAAATTTGCTTCCATTTATGGGAGGACTGGAAGAATGAGGGCCAGACTGTGACTGAGCATCTGGCAATAAGAGGGTTCAAAGCAGAGGAAACTACTCACGCAAGATTTGAAAGTGCTATTCTGCACTGATAATTGACCTGTGCAAGGAGTATTATTACTGCCACTGCCACTGTTGGACCTTACAGGCAGATATTTTGAAAAGTACCAGTTCCAGAAACTCTCTCAGGCTCAGCTCCTATATGATACCTCAGCTTGCTGAATATCATCATTGCACAGATTCTTGTCACCAAATGAAGTATTAAGTCATCCTTCATGTATTATCATCTGCTTCAGATTTTCCCCTCCCTGATACCTATGGGTTTGGCTATTAAAAGGCAGTATGACAACCACAAAACTATTACTAAACATCTTTGCTCAGAGGAGACATTTCTTCCTAACAGGTATTCCTGTTTTTCTGTGCTGTATTTGGTTACCTCATAGATAATGGTTTATGATCACCATGAGATACCTTCTCTAAAACAGGTTGTAGCTTGTCTTGATCCTCCTAAGGATGGAAAGTTTCCTTCTGGCTTTGAAAAAAAAGTCTGTGATTTCCTCAGTTTAAAAAAAAAAAAAAATTCCCTACAGAAATTGCCTTAAAATAACAACCTACACATGAAGGGAAGGTCTATATCCTCCTGCAATGCACAGGCATTTCTGCACTAACACAAAGACTTTTCTCCACTTGGTGCTGTCTTTAATCTTGTTTATATACTTGTTACTGTTATAAATCACTCAGGCAGTTTACAGCATCAATTCTATGGGAAAAAAATGTATTTTTAATGTGTTTGCATATTTATCAGAAAAGAATCCAAAGGGGTCAGGGCGGCTTGTCCATGATAAACATGATTAATAGCCAATATCAATTGCTTTGCATTAAGTTCAGGCTTTTGCTTTGTTAAAAAAAAATAAATAATAAAAAGGCAAACAAACAAACAAAAAAACGCATATTTTGATCCAGGAATGGTGAAATGTATTCAAGGCAATGGGGAGTCTTTTATTTTTTTCACTACTAGTTGGCATCATGATGGAAAAAAAACAAAAGTGGATCAGAATTATCTACACACAAAAAATAGCAGATATTTATATTCCATGTTTACCCCCACCTACAAGACCTGTTTGTTCAATAGTTTTCCATAGCTCCTCTGTCCCAATAGACATACAGAACAAAATACTTTAAAGTACTTTTACTTGTACTTTTCTGCTGAGGAGTTTTCCCTCCTGAAATACCATACAAATGTTAAATCACTGCTAGAACATAGTACAGTGACAAATGCTGAAACTCATTTTGCCCAGCAGCATTCCCTACAAAGTGATATTTTTGTGATAGTGCTAGAAGAAAGAAGCTTGCTCCTGTGAGCTGCTGTGCACATCTGGTTTGGTTTGGGTGCATTAGCCTCAGCAGTACACACTGCAAACACCATGCAAGTAGCTCTGTTCTTCTGTAGTACAGCAACACATCTTAAGAACAAGATCCCCAATGGGTATAAATGAAGGTAACGACACTGAAAACAATCCAGCTAATGCTCTGCTCATGCCATCTCTGAAGTCATACTCCCCAGTACCACAATAACACTCCAGTCTGTTCTTATACCCAGCCACCATCATGCCACAATTCTCCCAGCCGTTACAGTAGCTACCCCATACCCTGTGCTTTCAGAGGCTCTCCCTTTCCTCTGTCCCTCCTTCCTTCCCCCAAGAACTGGCATCACTCAGCATTTTGGCTGGGAGACTGATTCTCCAAACTGAAAACATCAAAGCATATCTCTGGTTAGATCTCATCCCAACCCTCTAAGTTTGTTGACTTGGAAAGTGAATAACTAATAAGGCAGCATGCCATTGTTTTCTGTTTATTATAATGGAAATAAATTGTTGGCTCCAAATCAGGCACTGATTGTTCCTTTGATATCACTGCCAGGAAGCAAAATAAAATGGCTTTTTAAAAATCACCTTTCACAGGGAGTGCCACAGGCATTTGAAAGATGAGCCTTTTTCCATGTCAAAGGACTTCCAGAAGTGCCAAACACACTAAAACAGAAATTCAAATCCTTCTCCATTAAAATAAAAAAGTGCAAGCAGGAACACAAGAGCAGGATCGCCAGGGCAGCAGGATGGCCTGCTTGGCATGCTGCATGTCATGCAAGTGCTCATCAGGCTGCGGCAGAGCTGGCCCTGCAGTGCAGAACACTTCCTGAAGAATATGGAACACATCCTTTGCATTTTTTTCACTCAAAAAAAGCACAGGTGGGTTGAATGAACTACTCTGTATGCCTGGCAGCTCTTACACTAATAATAAGAGATTTTAGAAGCCAAAAAGATGGAGGAGGTGCTTTGCCTCAGAACTTGAAGCACCCATAAATCTTGCTTGTGTTTTTTTTTTTTTCTTTTTTTCTTTCTTTCTTTTTTTTCTAAGCTACACAGAATGGCAACTTCACTGTACCCCAAAGCCTTCTCAGCATTTTATCTCCTTCCCTATAGAGTTTAAGGCACAAATTTTCAGCTGCTTGAATTTCTCTCAGAGTGCTACCACCTAACGAGGGAATATATTGTACACCAGCACCACAGTTACATGCATAGAGAGAAGCTTCCTCATCAGAGGTTGTAGTTGGATCCAGATCTTAAGCGACCCAGAGCACAGTGGTGTTTGGATTTCATGACGTGCTGCAGTTTGATTTGGCTTGGAGCAGGGGATAAAGCTGAGTGCCAGATTCAGATCTCAGGCCAAACTTGGATTTTGTATTTCAGCTACCAAACTTCATCATGTTTTGGCAAAGTCACGCTCTCACCTGCTCATGCCATGTGGAGAACACCTGTGATTTGCTGGAAGGGCGGCTGGTCTTGCTGCGAGAAACTGCCTGTTCCAGAGCCAGCCTATGAGAGCCTGTTTCTGACTTGGGCTGCTGCAGATGGTTTTGTGTGCTGGGAGCGCAGAACCGCTGAAACATGCTTAGACTCTTCAACTGGAAAGAAAGAAAAAAAAGAAAAAGAAAAGAAAAGCTGTGAGGAGCAGACTGCAGCTTTACACCTCCCTTTGTTGTCACGACGGTTGGATCCAGTGCAACCTTTTTGTTCGTAAGGTTGAGACTCATGCACAGCAGCAGCAAGCCCTGAGAATAAACTGGGAGAACAACATAACTGTAGCGCTTTCTACAACAGCATGCTTTACAAAGTGTTCATCATGCTGCCTAGGGATACATTCTTCAGCATCATTTATTGAAAAACATGCTGGAAGACACTTTTTCCAAAAATCAGAATACCCATAGCTTAACTGGCAAAAGATCTGTGTGTGGCAAACAGTGTGGTCTGCTAAATATTAAGGTCTTGTTTGACACAGACTGTGTGCTTACACTTGGCTCTCAGTGCATCCTTATTCTGTAAAGTACTTGAGCATATTATTAACATCAAGGATGATCCCATGTTCACCAAAATGGGGCAGTATAACTGGGACCTCATAAAGTGCTTATGACATAGGTGCTTTTCTGAACTGAAAGGTTTGAAGGGCTCCCACCAAAATGCCCTGGGATTAAGTAGAGACTTTCCATTGCCTTCAACAAACATTCAGCCATAACAAATCCTTACTTTTTATACTTATTACTAGCTTATAATGGGATATTTGGAGAGGAAAAGGAAGGACCTTTTTTTTATTTTTTTTTTATTTTTTTCTCCAGATAATACCATCTCTTCTCAATTATTTCTGAAAATTAAGAGTGTGATTACTGACCTGTAGGCACCTGATGATCACACTTTGGTTTGAACTTTTTATGAGTGTATGTAGGTTTGCTAACTCTAGCACTGCCCAGTAATTTATTTCCCAAATGGGCTATGAAAGTCACCTGGAAGAAGGAAAACAGTGTCTAAAGCCTTGCAGTGTAAACGGATGATTGTGCTAGTTGGATTTGTGCATGTACATTTTTGGAAAAAATTTTCAGAGGAGAGGCAGAATTTACTTTCGTAATGAAATCAATTATTTGTCTTTAACCATTATGTAGTGCTTCAGTGCTTCAAATTCTTGCTTACTTTATTAAAAGATCAGTGTTCACTGCCTCCTGATCTTAGGTGTGGACAGAAACTGGGTTCAAAGGAAGCTATGCAGACCCCAAAAGCTGCTGTGACAGAAGTATGAGGATGGTTTGAATGACTCAGGAGGGTCTTTGGAACCATGTCGCCTCTTTCTTGGGCATCCCTCTTCCCCCAGGATACAGCTGACCTCAGAGCTTTGCACAAACCTTTATGCACTGCATAGCCCAAGCCAGAGTCACGGTACCCCCAGAGGGCAGTGCAAAGTCTCCAGGGCCAAAGGCAGCCCATTTGTAGTCAGTACGTGCACATTTGCTGGTGAGCAAGGCTGTACCATGAAGCTCACCTGAGGAAGAGGGTGGATGCTGTGAGACTCCACAGGTCAATTCTTTTGGGCTGTTTGAATCCTGAAGTCCTGGTGTTTGGCTGCGAGTTTTGGTGCAGCTGTGAATTGCTCAATGCACATTGATCTGTCCTATCTGAAGAGACAAAAGTAAATGTCAAACCTGAAAATCCCCAGCCACAGTATTGATATTCTGGCACATAAACTGTTATGTGATATTTACAGGCCCTCCTTGGAGAGTGTGGAAATGTTACACTGTGGCATGAAAAAACAATATTAAACAAGATTTCTGCTTCTGCAGTTGACACAGCCTCTACCCATTCACTCAGCAAGTTACTGGGAATACTGCAGTGCAAAGAAAGGACTTCAGTGCTAAGTCTGCTTCTGTTCTTTTCTGAAAACTATCTTTGGCAATATCTGTGAAACTTTAGGAAACTGATTCCCGACGAATCACTTCCTGGACACAGCACAGTCAACATCAGCACGACACTCACGCTAAAGTTATCTTGGTTTAACTTGAAAGCAGCATTTCCCTGAGGACCTCTCAATTCTGGAGCGAGCGACGTGTCTCTGCGTTCTGGGAGAGCCTGGATTATTTTTAATCTCCTGGCCATGTTACAAAGATCAATTTATAGTCTCACTGAGATGGTAAGGGCAGGCGAAAAGGGAGTTGACTGTTGTTGATTAGTGAATATTGTTATTTCTGAAAAGAACAAACTTTTCGGGGCAACTTCTTCTATTTTCTTGCACTGCTCACTTCATTTTGGAGAAAATAAAGTGTGAACTGGCCCAGGTACACAAACTGCACTGGACCCATGTTCTCGTCAGCCAGCACATGTTTTTGGATCAAGTACATTATGAGTTGTACAAGCCCCCACAGCTTTGTACAGGTGCTGTGTACTAAAATAATAGAGAAGATGATGAGAATAAAGCTTTCTTTCATTCTCCCTGTTACAATTTTATATTTGCTACAATTAATTATCCCAATTGCTTTGCTGGAACAGCATCTTGACTGTAATTTTGAGATACACAACTAGTTCCAGTATTATGCCAGGGATATATCAGGCTCCCACTGAAAATAACAGCAAAACTAGAGTTTGAGCAATCCTATGGTATGTGCTTCCCAAAACATTCATATAGATAAATTTTAAAATTCTCTATTTGTTCAGGTTGCAGACTCATCGGTTCAAATATTTACCAGAAGTCACCACAAGAATACAGCTGAGATGCATATACAATCTGTATACATGTCAAAAGTCATAAAAACGAGAAAGCAGATTTTCTTCCCCCTTGTACTTAAATCTTCCTAGAGTCTTACTTAGGAAAGTGCAATTCCTAACGCTTAACAAGGAATGCAGCACGATTGTTTCCTTAATTTTGGCAGATGAAAAGTAAGAACCACAGAGTTTTGTATTATTTCCAACCAAAAGAGTCAAATGGCCTAAGGTTTACCCAAAGTTTCACAACACTTTTGCAAGAAACCCTGTCAGAGCATTTTTACAAAATGCCAGTAATGTCCAGAATTTCATACTCCTGAATTTAAAACTTTTCCAACTTCATTATTTGTTTTACACAACCTCTACCATGGTTGTTTTCTTACCCCCATAAGTACCGCCAGGATTTTTTAGACTGGAGCACTTTCCAGGAATTACAATGAAGAATTTTAACTCTTGGAGCAGAGAAATGACTTTTGCTTTGAAAAATGTCTTTCCTGGAAGTGCCTTTCACTGAAGTGCTCCTTCCTAGTGAGACCCAAGGGACCAGCCATAGGAAGGATTGAGCTGAGACAATCCCAGGGCAGGTCTCCGTCTGCCATCTCACACCGTGTGGGTCCCCTTCAGGTCTTGAAAAGGCTTTGGTGACACAAAACACAGTTTCAATTTTGGCACATCGCAAGGCTACATTCAACCTTCTGTGGGCATTTGCTCGAGTTCTCCAGCTCCACCTCATCCTGTCCCCATCCCTATGGAGGTGACCACTGTTGGGGCTGTCCCCAGCTGCCCCCCGTCCTGCCCAGTTCCCTCAGTGGGGCAATGGGATGAGGCTCGGCCCTGCTCTGCCGCTGAACCCAGGCACAGTAAGCAGGGATGATGGCACCTTTAGTGGGAATATTTGCTACAAATGTAAAACAGATGCTAAAGGCTTGAGAGAGAAAGAAGTAAAGTGACATTTTCCAAACCATGAGCAGAAGCAGGATTTACTAATTTCCTCGCTACTGTCTTATCTATACTGTTGCTTCTTGAATGTAGTCTGTCTTGTCAATTCATAGCCTCTTCCAGATATCTTTTCGCCTATGGTTAGTACTCTCTACTGCTAAAGATTTTAATATAAAAGTAAACATCCCAGATACAGACAGTTAGTTGACATCATTGAAATTGTGATGTTCCTATTCCCTCAACACCTGTAAAGCTTTCATTCTTCCTCTCCAACAAAACCAAGATGACCTTCTCTTCCCCTTCCCCTGGTACTTCTCTTCCTGGGGCCCATGTGGCTTTCTTGGTCTGCCTTAGCCAACTGCATTCAAATCAGAAGACAGATGAATTTTCAATATAAACTTTACGGTTAGTAGTATCCACTAAAATATTGCAGATTTCTGTGGTAATTCTACTCCCAGAGTTGTCAAAAGTATGCAAAAGCCAGGCTTGTTACATGTGGACACAATTTAAATGGATAACAATCCAGTGGGGATGTATTTTTTATAAAGGCAGAGTTTTACCGAGATATGGTATGGTCCAGAATGGGAACCTCCTACAGACTTGTGGGTTTTCTTTTGTGGAGGTCAGCATATTCATAGGACACTGAAAGCAATAGCCCTTAATCTCTCACCCCACCTCTAACAGCTCAGTTATCTATCATTAGTCACTTTAATTCCCTGACAGCTCTGACACGAGCACTCAGTGGCTTTGCCTTCAGTCTGGTCCAGTAAGCTTTTTTTGAATGCTGCTTTTCACATTTCACAGGCCGGACACTCCGAGGATCTGTATCTGGAGCAAACAAACAGGTGCAGGCTTGATGATAACTAATTACCGAGTGGAAAACCTTTCCTGAGCTGGCAGATCAGCTCAGAATTACTGTTCTCTGTCAGATGAATCACTTTTTCCCCAGAGCACCAGAAAAAGTTATCATCCCCTACTAGCATAGATGTGTGCAGACTCAAGCTTTTCTACCTGCCCTCCAAGTTATCCAGCATGTAAACGCATCCATCAACTCAGTGATGCTTGCAGTGCTTACGCACATATATTTCAGTGATACTTGCAGTGCTTACGCACATATATTTTGGCACTATAACGTACACCACTTAGCTATGTGGCTCCCACTACATAGCCAGCATGCCACCATGGGAGCTGGCTGGGAGGAATCTGCAAGCAGCATCTCCCATATGAGAAGCTCTGCATCAAAGGAGCATGTTCAAGAAGCCAGAGATGATGGCTGGAGCCTACCTCAACTCACATCCACATTTTCCTCAGCCCCATCTCCTGCTGGTCCTGGCTGGACTCCCTTGGAGGACCCCAGACCTATTTTATCTGCTTGCTGTGTTTGGAACTGCTGCGGGGTCCCCCTCAGGTCCCATCTCAGCCCCCCTCTGGGTGCAGCTCTGCTCTTGTTGCTCCCTGGCTGCAAGGCTGAGGCAAGTCCTTGAGAAAGGATGCTTTGGATTCTGGTTAAAACAACAACCCTTTTGCCTTCAGTCCTGGCAATGGAGTTGTTCTTCATCACTCTACATATATAAGCTGTATGAATGACAGCCCTATAATTTTCTTATAAAGCACACAAGCTTCATTTTAACTTTGACAGCAAGCAATCCAAGGCCAGTAAAAGACTGGCAAATGCCTTCTGTATTCATCTCTTCAAGTATTTTGGCTTTTCTTTATTTTAATTTGCCTGGAGGCAGACATTTGAGATAACAGCTGTTATGGTGATATTATCAGTCATCTGCATGTCAGAGAATGCCAGGAAAATGCCTGTGGAGTAGACCTCTTGGGTTTTTGGTTTTGTTTTAACTGCTCTGAGGCAAATTCTCTCCTTTGTCAAAGATCTGCTTAAAACATGAGAAGAGAATATAATGGAACTGGTTTCTACCCTCTGATTACAAAGAAATGTCTTTTCCTGCTGATAGAAAGCACAAGTTTCTGTGCTTGCTTTTTGATACCCCTCAAGTGTACATGTACCAGAGCAGCCTTTTGCCAGATGCTGGCACACTTTAATTTTTGCCGGTAAGCAATGTCAGAGCACATCTACCACCAGGAAATGTCCCTGTAACTCCCTGGAGAGAGATGTGATTTGCTCACTCTGGAGCAAATGACGAGGCTGGTTGCTAACATATCCTGTTAAAACAAGTCTTTACTTTCCCATGAAACACATCACTTAACTCTTTGGGTTTCATTTTAAAAAGCTTACCGAGGAAAAAGGTTTCTTTGCTTATTAAGTTGGAGGGCCAAAATCAAGGTTCTTGAATGAGGAGGTCCAGAATTTTGTCTCACAAAGCTGAACAGTTTGCAAGAGGGCCAAGTAGATTTATTGGTTCCTTAGAGAAGATGCCACAAGGAAGGCCTTGACTTGGTAATTATTACCTTACATTCATTTGGTTTTCCAAAGAAATCCAAAATGGAAAAACAAAATGTAGCATTAGAAACAAATTGGGATATGCCCCTATACATGTATAGTATATTGATGATTACAGAACAGTTTGTTCAGTTAACTTAATCAAAACTAACATCATTTGTGTGAGAGAAGCTTTTTCATTATACTTTGACTGAACATACTTTGTATCTGAGGATCTTGAACTATTTTACTGACATCAGGGGGAAGAAAAATAGTTTCACCTACAAAACAACCATTGTTCCAAAGGAGTAACATAAAGATGTTTTGTGTGTCTACATTCCTGATGGATCTGAGCACAGAAAATAAAGGATTCTGCATGCATATTTACTGTTTTTCTACAATTCCCTGACATCTCTTTATCATGTGAGAGCAGAGATTTCTCTCTTCTATTACCTCGACATTACAGAAGGGTATTTTGCTAGAAAGTGCACTAAAGAGATGAATTCATGGTGGAACCACTGAATTCCTGACCGACCATGGGCAAGATTTCCACAGTGCTGTGGTCTGTTTCTTCACCTGGTACATGAGAATACTTCCTGAAAATACTGTCAAGCATTCAGATACCACAGACACAGAGCTCATGCCAATACCTGTGCAGGAGAAGAAATACATGAAAGAGAAAGTTGACATTGAAGGCAAGCCTTGAACAGAGATCACAAAGGTTAACCATCCAAGTAAACTGTTACCACCTAGACTCTGTGGTTTGTTTCCTAAAGGTAGTATTTTCAGCTTTGATACTCCTGCTTCTAAATATGGTCAATTTATATAAATGAGGCAAGCATTTCTGCAAGCTTTGAAGATGAACAAATTGCTTCCTTTACCAGTGTAAATGGCATTCCCTTGTCCCTGTTTCCAGTAGGTATATGAAACTTGTTCTTACCTATGGCACTCAGGTGCAGCCGTTTTGAACAATGTTAAATGATTACACAGGAGAACATCCTTAATTCTCCAAAAAAATTTCACTGAGCTCAAAGAAAGTGTTAACAGTGAAACAAAGAGCCTTTCTTTTTGGATCCTCCAAAGACAAGAATAATATGCTGCCTGCTTAAACAAAGCAAACAGTGGATCCAAAAAAGGTAACCTCTATAGCATAATAATTCTCTAAGTGCAGCTTTGCCTACATGCTTTCATCACTGCTGATGTGGTAACATAAAGGATTTGTTCAGCATAGGTTAACTCCCTCTTCCAAATGTCTCCAGGCTTTTGAGCAATTTGAGTCTCTGGAATTGAAGTGTATCTGTCTCTCAACGAGTAAGCACTGAGGGCTGGGACTGTAACTGGGTATTTTCGACAGTATTGTTGGATTATTGTTGGGACCAAATAAACTCATTGAAAAACGCTTTTCTTTGTCTGATTTCTGGGAGGCTGGACCAACAACAAAAACTGAAACATGTACTTTATTGAATATGTGAAAATTTCGATCTCCTGTGAAAATCTGCGTAGAGGTTTGGTCCACGAGTACTAAGGTCTGATTTATAACTAAAGCAAATTCTGACTGAAGACTTTTTATAAAATATAATAATAATAATAATTAAAAAAAAAAAAAAAAAAAAAAAAAAAAAAACAGAAAATATGTTGAAACCAGTTTTTGTAAGAAGCAATTTCTCAGGTAGAAAAGTTTGTCTCAGTGTCATCTAGTTTTAGAGCTAAGCAAAAAGAGAGGAAGAAACATCATTCAGTTGTAATCCACTGCCATGTAGAGAAAGATGTCTCTTGCCACTGCTGAGATTTGCAATATCATCTAGATAGATGCTGCCAGTATGGCAGGGATGTACTCCCCTGTAAAGCATCAGATACTGACCATTGCTGAGAAAAAAAGTCAGTACGACTGAGTAGAGTTGTTTGTCTGATAAAGACACTGTATTCTTGGAACTAGGCTGCTAGAAACAAAATTAAGAAGAAATTCAATATTTCATTACCTTAAAGCTACTGGTAATTATTTATATGTTCTTTTGGACAATTTCTCATTGATACAGTATTAACTATGCCCAAGGCAATCTTCTACTAAGATGTGGTTCGTCAGATAATAAATAGTGCCTTTTTCTTGGGCTTACCACCTGGAATTTAGAAAAAGAGCTATGCAAAACTGCAGCGAGGAAGAATAAAAGAGACAAACAAGGAAACATCAATTAAGATTAATAAGATAATACCTGGAGTGACTGGCTTGGCAGTCATGTTTTTCCTTTGACATTTTCTGTGTAATTCATTTCTGTGAGATGAATAGGGTGATGGAAGTTAAGGGAAGAGGAGAGCAACTGCTGAAACAAATTTTCATAGGGACAGTTTCTTTCATGCTTTTGGTGACTTTTTAAATTAACTGTAGCTTATTCCTTGTTAATTGTAATAACAGATGAGTGTTTCACATGCAGTAAAAGAGGTTGGGGTGAAAATTCAAGCACCTGAGAGGCTCCTTGCCTACATACAAGCAGTGTCTGGTGGTGGCACCTGGGATCATCTTTATAAGGTTTCAAGGAGAGGGGAAGGGAATCCAGGAATGACTCTAGCTGCCTCTAGTTCCTTCTCCAGAAAATGATTATGAATTTAAAGCATAATCATCCTCAGACAAAATATGTAAACAGTCTGAGAGAAGAAACCAAAACAAAGTGTCGCCAGTGCCTCCTTTCCCAGACAGCATCCCTCATCACCCATGATTAATTTTCCTTTTTGGCTCTACTCACCTCTTCAGCACAGTGGCACAGCTCATGACGGAGCTGGGAAAAACACCCTATCCTAGCCTAGCCCACAACCCGGCACAAGATATGGATTTAAACCCCGAGGCAAGGAAGCCGCAGATCCGGGGCTCCCAGGTCTCGTGTTGACTAACCGTGGGTTATTACATACAAAGGCAGCTCTTCATTTCACCATTTTTTTTCCAATGAAAAAGCTACCTGCCAAAAGAGCTAGCTGGGAACCTTGCAGGATATATGATGGCAAACAGGCAGATGAAAGCTAGGTCCTAATGGCACAAGACATTATGCCAAATGTGTGGGGAATTCAAGTGCCTAAATTCCCCTATGAAATGGGAAATGCATTTTCCTCTCTTATCTGATCTATGATGTGTGCAGATTGTTTTTGGAGCAGGGGTAGCAAAAAATAAATATGATAGAACAAGCAGTGGCTTTTGTTACTGTTATGCATGCTTGCAAATAAAATGAAGTTCCTTACCTGCTCCAAACTGTGCTAAGCTATGCGACAAAGTAGATAAAAATAGGTTGTTTCACTTTTTTTTTTTTTTTTTCCACTGTCATTAATTATATTTAGACTGTGGCATTTTTCCTAATGTGTGGGGGAACAGACACAACTGCTAACTGCAATACAGCTACAGATGTTGAAGAAATAAACCTGTGAAGGTCTAGGAGACTGGAAGGGAGATATTAGAAGGTGGATAGCATTAACTTAGAGACCTCACTATTAGGATACTGAGAAGAGACATTGGCCAAATGAAGCGAAGGTCTCAATGCAGTGATGGAGCCAGACATACTACAGTTCTGTTCTGGACACCTGAGTCAGGGACTGGGAGACAAAAAGACAAAAAGATGTAGTCTCCCAGACTACAGAGATAACACCAGCACTTGTCAAGGAATGCTAGAGCACCATGAACTTTGACACAGACCCATATCCTGAAATTTGAGAGCCCTCTTGTAAGGCTGGCTGACACCTCAGATCTTTTATCTCAGACACTGCTTCAAGTATTTCCCTTACAGAGGCTCTGGGTCTTGTTCAGGTCCCTTTGGAACATGGCTGCTGCGCATAATGCTGGTGAGGGAGGCTAGTCAGAAAGAGCTTCAAGAGCTCATTGAGTTACCAGTGTTCACATGGGGTTCTTGTCAGTCTCAAGGATAAGGTCTGTGAACAGAAGGGACAAGTAGTACCTGACATACCTTTTTTTATATTTCAATTTAACCTGATTTTATTTTTTTTCTTGCCCATAGAAAAGGTAAGGCTGAAAGGCCAGGTCAAAAGAAAAAGGAGATAGATGCTGCAGCTATCAGCATGGGATGGGGCCCTGCTGCTTGTACCATGCTACAAGGAGATCATCTGGCTGGCACACCAATCTGCGGTATTTCTTTGCCATTCCTTTTAATGCCTGAAATTCACATAACCTGTGACCACTTGTCTTTATTGCCAGAAAAAACGTCTTTCTGTCTTGCATCGTCTAAAACAGCCTATTATTTTTCAGTTCCTGTCTCTGGAGGCATTGTCTATAGTGAATGACCCACTGCTTGTTTCTGCAGAACACCACAGGGAAGAGGGCCAAGGATACCTCAGTGTTTACGTACCGAGATGTAATGGCCTCGTGTTGCCTGCAGATATATCCATATCAGTTCAAGTCCAAGGTCAGATCTTGTTGATGTGTGGTATTTGTGAGCTCTTGTTATGCCCACACACACTTCCAAACTCTGCTAGGCTTGCCACAAACTGTTTACAAGAGTTTGAGCCCAAGGTGAACCAGCCCTGGCATGCAAGTGCTGCTCTGCTCCCCTTGTTCTGGCTGGTGCTTCTTGGCTGCCTAGCCTGCATGAGGAAGGAAGGCCACCAGACGTGGGCAGTGCTTTGCCCATGTGGTCAGATCAATTTGGGATCAGGTGGGATTCTGCAGCTCAGAGGAAAGGACAAAAGCAGGTCATTAGCTATACTTTTAATAAATCAATTTGTTAATTAGGGATCAGGTGGGATTTTCCACCATGAGAGGGAGGACAAAGAAAGCTCATTAGCTGTATTTTAAATAAATCAATGTTTTACTTGGTGTAGAATTCTCTTGGAAATATAAGGCAGGGCAAATGGAACAGAGACTTATAACTGACTTGAAAATATCTTTGATGTAGAAATAAGAAAAGCTTAATACTTACTTAGTGCTTCTATATTTTTCTAGGCATCAGTTAGTACAAAGCCAGTGTGGCCAGGCTGGATCTCTTGGGAAGATTCAAGGAGACAAAGAAAGAAGGCCTGTACCAAGTTTAAGGAAATAAAGAAGAAAGGTTATTTCAGCCTTCTGTGGTTCACCACATCTGGCAAATTAATTTCAAAACATTACAGTATTCAGAACTACTAGACGTGTCTGAAGACTTGTGTCCTGGTCATTTACCTGAGCCTGCCATGGGAAGATATCACCTTCAAGGTATGACAACTTCTGCCAGGTTTCCACTGCAACGACATTCACTGGGTGCTGAGCTTCTCTCACTCGTGGCATATCAAGACAGCATTTGCTTGCTGTTCAGGTCAGGTCTCTCTGTCCAGAGCCCACGTGTCACTCGTGGTCATGCAGCCCTGGCGATCACTGCTAGCCCACAGCTGGCTCCATGCAGGTCCTGCTGAGGCTGATGTGACTCTACAGCAAGCACCATTTTTTCTATGGACCTTTGCTGATGCAGCATCTGAAAACAAAACATTATCTGACTAAGAAAGGGAGTTGGGCAGGTTAAACAAGATAATGTTCAAATGACCAAATCTGGCAATATTTGGACTATTTACTCTTTGATGCTGAAATTGAGGACAGAATTCAAAAACATCAATACATATTAAGGAATGCCAAGCACTACAGGAAGCAAATGACTTTGCTATAATCAGTACCCATTTCTTCCCTGACGTGCTGTGTATTAATAGAGGTGTTTGAGACAGTTTGAATAATTAACTGCTTTGCTCTTTGCCTTGTTTCTGTTTTGGCCTACCTGCACTCCACAGAGGGAGTCTCAGTTACTGCTGATGGACTATGACCCATCCTGCGTGGCTAACATTTCCTGAGGGTGCATCTTCTCATGTTGTGTGCCACCTGCACAATGAGAGGAGCACGATAATTACTGCCTAGGAAGGCAGCGGCTCATCTGTGTCACTGTCACATCTGCCCATGGATAATAGGTGTGGAGTATTTGCTGTGAATTTAAAAATGGCCCCCTTTCAGAGGTCAGAAGATCAAAAGTTCAGATCTCGTTGGGAATTGCCAAAAGAGCCCACGCCACCGCTCGCTGCCCCAGCAGGCTCCTCCTGTGTGACAGCGAGGATCAGCAGCAGCGAACTTGCTGGTGCTGTTGTTTCAACAGACATACAAAACTGGAGACCCAGTCAGCTGTAGCAAGAAATAATAAAGATATTAAGTTTACAGTCTTCAAAAATTTCCTCAAAGGGTCTTTGGTTTATTTTCTCGCCTCAGTGTGAGGCTTGGTTTTAACAACATGGCTGCCAAGAGGGTGATTTACCCTACAGCTTAGGCGGGCTGTTGTGATGGATAGTGGATACTATTTCAACAAAGAAACAGTGCTTCGAGTATTAATCAGCTATGTAAACTAATAGAACCTTGCTCAAAATATTTTTGGCTCTTCCTTTGCAAGTAGATTCTCGACAGCGAATAGAAAAACACATCGTACATATGGCTTACAATGCTACTCTTCTTGTAAGAGGAGAGTTGTGTAGAGTCCAAGCACAGCAGCATCTTCAGGGGTCCAAAAGTCAGCAGCAAAATTTAGTCTATACTGAAATGTGACCCATGAGGTCTAAGACAAAGAGCAGTTTTATTTTCCAGATTCTTCAATAAAAAATGTTAAAGTCATTTTAAGTTTCAAAATGTAAATAAAAAGCATGTTTAGCACTTTGAGACTTTTTTTTTCTTGCAGCAGTAACTTAAAAAATATTTCATTTTTTTTCAATTAGAGATACACAGTGTTGCCCAATCATAAACATGGTTTGGTTTGGTTTGGTTTTGAAAAAAAAAAAAGTATTAAAAAAAAAACAACTCACTGGCTTACTTAAAAATTTTCTGTTTTCTTTAAGAAAAGAAAAGGCAAAAAAAAGGTACCATTGGACCCCAAGATAAGCTCTGTTTCTTGAAAGTACTGAACATGTTTTAATGAACATAAACAGTCCTGTAAATGCTACTTGGCCACATTAACATGCTCTCCTCCTCCAGGGGAAGTGCAGCATCCCTGGAAATGGAAGACACTGCAATTGCAATTCAGAAGAACATTAGTCAGCAAAATGCTCAAGTACGTGCTTGAGTGCTATTAGCATAATTGGGACACAAGTGCATGATTGAAGTTAACTATTATTAAAGTTGTTTCTTGAGGAGAAATGGATTGATGCAGATGTTTAGGTAATTTTGAGAATCAAGGACAGAAAGTTTAAGCAATTTGTATAAATTTACTTACAAGTTTTATAGGAAACCACCATTTCTGAACTCCCAAGTCCCAATCTGATTCCCTCAAATGCCTTAGAATTTGTCATTTGCTTTGCTCCACTATTGACACTGCTAAGTTTCTTCATATTCCCTTTTGGAAACCTAAGCAAGGGAACAATGGGGACACACACTCAACTTGAGGAGAGGACTGGGATGAACTGGCAAAAAATCTTCTCTCCTGAGAACAGCTGGCCAAGGTGACTTCTGGGCACAGGCAAACTTAGACACCAGAGCTGTGGGCCTAGCTGTACTACAAAGTGATAGAAGAATCAGGAACTGAACTTTCATACCTCTTGTTCTTCACACACAGTGCCTAACCTTGACTGCAAGGAGTAGGAAGCTCCCTTAACAACTAACCAACCCCCTGAGAAGAACCGAGACCAACATGGTCCTATTAATTAATTCACAATAATTTCCTCTTCTTATTTGCAGTCTGTTATTAGGATTTGAAAATCAAAGCCATTTGTCTTCAAAATGCTAAAATAACAGACAACTTATGAGCAAGCATCCAGATTCCCTCCCTCCAAAATCTGTAAGGGAGAGATAAACACACTCTGGGCCCCGATCTAACCGTACTCTAGACTTCAACTTGCTATGCACTTCAGTGATGCAAAGCTCTGCTGGAGGGCTTCAAATTTTCCCCCAGACTTTTGCTAATTGGAGGACTGTTTTTCTTTCTTCTTTGGGCAGCCTTAGCAGAGGCACACTGGCAGTGTGCTGGCAGTGGAAGCTGCCACTTTGGGAAGAGTTTTGATTAAAATATGCGTTGCTTTGATCAGTGGCTTCCCTGTAGTGTAAGATAAACACGATCAGCAGTTTTGGTAGGTGTTCATTCCTAAGGCACATGCTGTGAAGTGACTGCACTACATTAAGCAAAAGCTTAAAAGGAAACTATTGTAGTCAGCTGGGACTTGGATTTATCCTGAGAATGAAAATCTTAAAATCTTTTACAACAAAACCAGCACTGCCTTTCCCCTCCATCAGTATGGTCCTACCACAGCCACAAGTCCTAGAGGTTAGGGTTGAGACCTTTTGCCACGAGGCATGTATGTCAGAGGAGGAGAGGCAGGGAGCATGTTCCACAGCTAATCTAATGCTTTGTGTATTTTCATTCAACACTAGAAATATCAAAGAAGTACATTTCCCTTCAGTTGGGGAAGCTTGTTTGACTCTCACAGCTGGGGCCCGGAAGAGTTGTCTGAAGTGTAGCCATGGTCTTTATGTCAAGACATTTTAATGATACTTTTTCCTCTTTTATTTTCTTGTGAAGCCAAAATGGTGTCTATTACAGGAAACTCATATAGCCTTTAGTACAAATAGCATTCATGGAAATTGTTTGTTTTCTGTACTACAGCTTTGTATGCAAAATTAAACTTCAGGAATTTGTTTTCAAATTTCTAATGCTCAAGGCTTTACATATCTAGGGAAGAGAAAGAGAAAAAAAAAAGACATAATTAAATAAAGATTTGCTCAGAGAATGGGATGTAGTTTAATGATGTTAGTTATAAGCTCATAAAAGAAGCACAGGCATAAGAGTTTATGAGAGGAAAAACTAGTGTTATGCTTTCCTTTTAAAGCTGGGCTTTTAATTGCATCTTATTATCTCCTAGGTAAATGGCAATTTCTCTGACTGGGGTAGGAACCAGCCTAACCTTCCTTTTGCTATCCCCAGCACTGGGCCAGATACTGAGTAAATACAGAAAGGCTGAGCACCACAAAAATCAATAAAGCTGCCCCAAACGAGATCTGACAGATCCTCCTCTGCCTTCAAGGGGCAGGCCAGCAGGTCTGTGCTGCTTTCAAGAAGTGGCCCACTGGCACCGACAGCTCCCCGCACCACGTGCCGCTCAGCTCAGTCTGTTCGGAGGCCTTTCCTGATAAAGTACTAAACATACCATAAAGCTGTTTTACAAGCCAGGTCTCACTCTGCTCTCCAGCTTTTTCTCATTAAGGGCATTGCTGCTTCAAGGAAGTTCAAGCTGCAGCGCATTTAACATCTGCATTCCTTTGACATGTTTTGAAATTATTTTAAAACAATTGGGAGAGGAGGACCGGGTTTGGGGGGGAGCTGAGCGCTTCAAAGGGAAAGCAGAGCAACGTGTAAGCCCCAAATTACATAACTAGCCCCACCAAGGAAATAAATTAATTTGTTTCCCAATGGCTCATTTATATAACCCTTTAATTATAGCTAACCATATCACCAGTATTATACCATGGGAAAATGTAGAGCTGTTAAGCAACCTACCACTCCGCCCTCTCCAGACCGACAACACAATCATTAAGCAACAACTGCATGTTAGGACATCGCCTGCTCTTTTGTCTTTCAAAGGTATAGTTCAATAATGTGGGTATGAAAATGTGACCTCAACAGTAACTCTTTTTCTAGGCTTTTGTATGTTCCTAAACTCCATCTCCCCATAGGATCGTAAAAGCAGGACAGCATTTGACCTGCTTGCAACACAAAAAGGGATATTGTTTAAAAATTCCTTATTTTCTCAGTCTGCACATGAGTCATAATCAGCAGTTGAGCCCTGTTAACTGCAAGTGCTGCTCAGTCTATGCTGGGTTTTCAAATGTGGTGAGTTTAGGTAGCTCTGTTGACTTCAATTAAAGCATTTCTAATTGTTTCTAATTCAGTACACACCAGCTGAGACCCCAGCTTTTGGTTTACAAAAGGCACAGTGTGCTAAAGCAGCTTGCTGCAGCTCCTTGAGGTCTATGAATGGTACATATTAGCAGTTAGTAGACCAAACCGCTGTGATGAAGAGGGTGGCAATGCTAACAGGAAAGCTTTTGCAGATGAGAAATGTCAGAATTTTCTAAAACTAAAATAATCAAAGTAGCTGTTTCAATCCATGTTCAATCCACTTCTGAAGACAATAAATGAAGCTGAATAAGAAAAATAATCTGCTGTTATGAGATAAAACTGATTTTGATATGTGGAGAATCCTATAACTTGAACAATGGGGTTTCATTATAAATCACTTAAATTATTCCTAATATCATGTTTTGATCAACTTTTAGTACTCAGGTTAGAAGAAACTTTCATATACAACGAAC